GTTTTCATTACTCATTTCAAGCTATATAATTCGGGAAATATTGGTCGGACAAACTTGACTCATAAGACTTTTCTGTAGTTAATTCAATTCTCTACAAAAAAGCTCTCTTGTATAATTTTCGAGAAATCAATATTTAACGAGTTACGTTCCAAAAACTGGATTACAGACAATGAAAAACATTCTTGATCTTCGGTAGATTGAAGTGGGAGGTCATCGTGACGCTTCAGTATGGAGTAGCGAGAAAAATCGAACAGCATAACGGCCGCAGAAGCTGCGCACACTTGTCTGCTAACAAAAAAACCAGCTCAGAAGCATCTGGAGTTTCGAAAGAGCCTAGGGTCCCCCTGTAAAAACTGTTTATGCTGCTTGCATGCGTGGGAGCGAGATTTCGCGTCCGTCTACAACGTGTACCGCCTCCCCCTCCTCCCCTTAAGATAACGATTAGCCGAGTCAGAGTATTTCCTTGATTGGAATAATAAGGGAAGGTTACAAAAGTTTAGAATTTATTCTTATAAATAAAACGAATGGCAAATACAAAGATGGGCGTATAAACAAGGGTAGAATGAAACGCGTTTGAAATGAATCCCCGCTGGAAACGAGTAAAATTTTTATCCATATCTCGAATCGCTAAAAGTGATTAATTCGTTAATTTAATTCTTGTAACTCACAGGTAGAGGTCTATCTTGACTGTTTAATTAGTAGCCTGTGAATTTTCATGCGGTTATATATTATTGGAAATTGTTAATATTATAGGAATATCGAATGCAATGGTACAAAAATATAGTAGTACAATAGTACAACAATAATACAAAAAAAATATTGAAAGTAAAGTTCATGTTACAATATTTACAGAGTAAAATAAATTCCAGGTTAGATTCAATTATGTCAATGATTTTATCTTGTATAAAGATCCCCAGTCTATTAATTAAATAAATTAATGTCACTGCTCGAGGACCTCCCCTTATAATTTCCAACAAATTTAGTACCTATTCAATGTCATTTATTTGGATAAAAATTCTACCCATCTCCAACGCTTCTCTAATATTCTATGGTGACAGTTTTCGTCTTCAGGTACTCGTTGAGAGCCTCCTGGCCCAGGTCCTTGCCGAATCCTGACATCTTGAATCCACCAAAGGGTGCAGCGACGTCAGTCTTGTTGTACGTGTTGATGAACACCGTACCAGCCTCGATTTTCTCAGCGAATCTCAGAGCTCTGCTGATGTCCTTGGTCAGAACACCAGATGCCAGTCCGTACTCTGTATTATTGGCCCTTGCGATCACCTCGTCCATGTTCTTGGAACTGAACTTCGATATGACCATCACAGGACCAAAGGACTCCTCCTTCGCTATGTACATATCGTCCTTTACATCAGTGAGGACTGTAGGCTCAAAGTACCAGCCAGGACGATCCAGTCTCTTGCCACCATAGACCAACTTGGCTCCTTCTTGGACGCCACGATTCACGTACTCCAAGAGCTTGTCCATGTGGGCCTTGTGGTTCTGCGGACCGTGAGCTGTACTTCTGTCTAACGGGTTGCCTATGGTGATCTTCTTGGTTTCTTCGATGATCCTGCTCACAAAGTCGTCGTGTATGGACTCCTCGACGAATATACGACCTGTTTAAAGGACACAAACGTGGTGAAATTTGGATGGTTTAATATGGTGACTGCTACGTCATATGTAGGTGAATTTTAAAGGGGTCGTAGGAATGAGTTTTATCAGAAATGTTGAATTGTATCATTTCTAATTGTATATACAGAGTGACAAGGATTTTCAATAAGGAATCAGATATATTAATTCTGAAGATGAGGTGTTAGGGAAAATGAATGTATTTTAAATGAGTGTTATCAGAAATGTTAGGTTACATCATTTCTAATTGTATTGAAACAAAATTTTAGCCTGGGATGAATCTTGACGATTATTGGTCTGGCAGTCCACGTGTAGAGTAAAAAACGTGTAAAGAAAGAATTTTCTTTTTTTACTTTATGAGGAAGTATCTTACATTCTTTGTAAGAAATTATACAATGAATTTTGGAGGTTTCGGTATCTTAAGGTAGTTGTTCTATGGAATTATTAAATGTAATCGTATGAGCCTATTTTGATTTGAATTGGCCACCATACTTTTATGAAAAACGATATAAAAATTTTGTAATTTCAACACAGCTTCCTATGGAATATACAAATTTCCATGTGATTTTTTCAATTTAAACAAAAATGCAATTTAGAAACTTGTTGAAAATGTGATATGTTATGAAAAACATAGTTATAAACCATTTAAAAAAATATATAGCAATTATTATCCAATTACTAATGTGCTACTACTAATGTTTCAATTAATCCAATGATTAGCCAACGTGCCAAAAACCTGTCATTTTTATAAGAAATTCAATGAAATTATTGTATTAAAAATTTGCTTTTGCCTATAGCAACATTAATTCTTTCAATTCCTTGAATATCATAATATAATTTTAAGATACCGAAACCTAAAAAATCCAAGTATACGTATAATACTTTTGATATGCAGTGGATCTTTACCCAACACGTTTATTGATCTCAGAGCAAGCCCGAGTCGAAAACGTACCAGCAGCAATGCAGTTCTCCCCCTTGTTGAAGAACACACTGCTCATCCCAACTCTGACAGCATGCTGAAGGTCAGCATCCTCGAAAATGACCAGAGGACTCTTGCCCCCGAGCTCCAACGAGACCTTCTTCAAATTACTATCAGCGCAGGCTCTCATTATAGTCTTGCCGACTGGTGTAGACCCTGTGAATCCAAGTTTCCTGATCAAAGGATGGTCGCAGAGAGCTTGGCCAGTCATCGAACCATTCCCAGGGACTATGTTCACCACTCCGGGTGGGAAGCCAGCCATTGCTGTGAGCTCAGCGAACTTAAGGGCGGTCAGAGGCGACGTCTGAGCAGGCTTCATCACCACGGTGTTACCAGCTGCCAGGCAAGCTGCCATCTTCCAGGAGAGCATCATCAGAGGGTAGTTCCAGGGAGTGACCAGGCCACAAACGCCTATTGGCTCCTTGCGTGTGAAGGTGAGGTTGCGATTAGGTCTGGCGTGGGATATAGGTATAGTAGAGCCTTGGATCTTGTCGCACCAGCCAGCAAAGTACCTCCAGGTCTCTATGGACATGCCTATGTGGGTCTTCAGGGCTAGAGTATACACTGCACCCGAGTCCAACGACTCCAGTGTTGCTAGTTCCTCTTTGTGCTGCTCCATTAAGTCTGCCAACCTGTAAACGTTGAATTTTAATTTTTGAAAATACCCAGTTCCATATCAAGAAGCGGTAGTGACCTTGAAATTTAGGAAGATATGATCTTGAGGTAATTGTTACATTTATCACAGTATGTACACATGAAATTACCCAATAATTTTATAGGATAATTGAAATTACTCAAGAATTCTTTTTAAAGACATATCTTCGTACCATCGAAAGCAACGGAGACATTTTAGGTAGAAATCTTAGGTGACTCACCCTGTATAATAGTTACTTACTTGAAGAGAAGAGCACCTCGCTCCCTAGCACTGATCTTGCTCCATTCCCCATCTTCGAAGGCCTTCTTGGCAGCCTTCACAGCCTTGTCTACATCCTCGACAGTAGCAGTTTCCACAGAGCAGATAACGCTTTCATCGTGAGGATTTATTGTGTCGATGGGTTTCCCATGACCATTGACGAATTCTCCGTTGATGAAGAGCTGCTTAGGGAACTTGAGGTTCATGTTGTTTGCCTGGAGTTCCACAGCGTCGTACTTGATGTCCTTGGAGGCAGAAACGCCTCGTGCTGCAAGGACCACCGTCGTGGCAAACTCTAGAAAGACTGGAGCCATGAAGACGTCGATGTTTTGCAGCGTCACACCCAGATTGTCCTTGACTTCCTCCACCAGCCTCACAACGTCCATGCTTCCAGCTCCTGCAGAGGAGAACCTTGTTTAAGCAGTGTTCTTGGGATAATTGCGTTTTAGAATACAGTTGGGTTCGTTGTGGAGAATGACATGCCTAAGTTTGCTAGAAAAAGGAGAAGAGTTTCTTTCGTTTTATTAATAAGAAATTTGATAAATACACAATAACTGATACTCGAGAATTATTATTCAAGAAATGATATTACTCAAGAATTATTATTCAAGAATTGAAATTACTCAAGAACTACTATTCAAGAATTAAAGTTACTCAAGAATTATTATTCACGAATTGAAATTACTGAAGAATCATTATTCAAAAATTGATGTTATTCAAGAATTACTATTCAATAAATAAAATTACTCAAGAATTACTACTCGAGATTTGAAATAACAAGAATTATAATTCAAGAATTAAAGTTACTCAAGAGTTACTATTTAAAAATTGAAATGGCTGAAGATTTATCATTCATGAATTATTATTCAAGAATTCGAATGACTCGATCACCATTACATGTTAAGTATCTCTGCGTCATCACAATTAGGGTAAATATTTAGATGCACCTAATTTAAGACACCCAGTATCCATCCCAAATTGCCTCCCAGTCCCCACACTAAAGATCAAAGATCCATTACACACCACAGGCGAAGAAGTCAGTGTCGTCCTCGACATCCACCTTGAGGATCCCTTTCCAAATCACTTTCAACGCATCCTTGGTCTTCAGCTCCTCCTCCGTGAACTCTATAGTCGTAGTTTGGTCCTCCTGGCCGAACTTGCTAGCAGGAATCGTCTTATTCCCAACCTTTATCCTTTCCACGTTCACATACTTGCCATCACAGGCACTAATTAACAATCCACCCTCGTGGATGACTCCCAGACGATCCTCCACGTTCACCTCGAGCTCATGCTCAGGTACCTGACCATTGTTCCACAGGCTAGACCCAAATAGACGAACCTCTTCGCCATTGATCAAGGTCCAAGCTCCAGGAGTGCTATCCAAGGCTCGTATGAAGTCGTGAATCTGTTTTGCTGGCTTCGACAAGTCCAGTTTCTGGAGCTCCTTCTTGTTCAGCATCGGGTCATAGGTAGCACCTTCTTCGGGTTGAGAGATCATCGGTGCTGTTCCTTTGGCCACCAGGTCCACAGCCTCTCCCATGGCCTTGATACCTTCGGGGTAGAGGAAGTTGTTGTACAGCGTATCCAAGGTGTCGTTGGGCTCCACCTTGCAGGACCTCTGGAGCAGTACGGGCCCAGTGTCGAGGCCATCGTCAGCCCAGAATATTGAGAAACCTGCTGTGTCGTCCCCTTCGATCAGAGTCCTAAAGGAAATATAGAAGAGAGGTTGAAGTGTGTTGTTGGTGTTTTTTGGTGGTAATTGTGAGAAGAATCGCGAAGGAGAAAAGTATCCTTTACAGAGAAATTGTGAGGGAGAAAACTTGTGTCTAAGGTTCTCTTCTATGGGGGAATGTCTCCTTTGAATAGGTGCGACGTTTAGAGGTTAGTTCCAGGTGAAAAAGACAAGAGTTTTTAGGTTATCCTAGAGTTACTATTCAAGAATTGAAATGATTAAAGAATAGAAATGGATAGAAAATACTCACGAATTACTATTCAAGAATTGAAAATACTCACGAAT